GGTAATCCGTAGATAGAAAATTAATTTCGCTTTAATGTTTAAAAAAATTATTAATCAAAAAATTCTTGAGCGGAATTTGCCTGCCCATAATTTACATATAAACAAGTTAGTATTTTCTGAAAATTATTTGTTAAAACAAAATTATTCGACGAATTATTATGAAAATCAAAAGCATTCAACAGAAAAAAAAATACAACGTGTAATTATAAAACACGCTACTGAAGTGAAACTTTTTCAAATACACAAACATACCGGGATGGGGTTAAGGAATTGGTGTAATGGTATTATTTGTACACTATGAATTTAAATATTACACTATACATGCCGGAGTTGCTTGTAACGAACGTTGCATTGAAGCGCGCTCACGGCTGAAGCGATCCCCACTACAAACTCGACTACGTGGCCGAGTAGAGAGGGGACATCCGTTGCACGATTTTGTTACATAGCAACTTACATGGAACGAACTTACCCTACCATGCGTAAAGTTTCACTTCAAAAAACACCTAAATCGTTACAGAATTGCGGTCTTTCAATTGTTATCATACGTATCATATCATGAAAGAATTCCTCTCTCAAAAATCAACAGACGTAATAAAAATTGAGTACGTTTTGTTTAAGGAAAAACGGCAAGATTGTAAAATACGCTACCAGTTTCTGTTGTTTTATTAATGATTAGGCAGTCTAATAGTTTATTAAGGAAATAACAGAAACACAAAAGTTAAAACCGTAAAACCTAACATGTTCTTACTTACTGCTCCGAATCTACTACTACGTGGCATACACAAAAAGGGCAAAAAGGATAAAAAGGTACATTCGCACAACTGAACCCAGAACGCCAAACTAACAAGTGTTTTCTATACATCTATAGCCCATTTCAATTTGTTTGAATGGTGACCTTGAAGAAATGTGCACGAAGATAGAAAGAATACACACTAGGCGTGAGCAAGACAAAAATAGTTGGAACAAGCTCGAACGAGGAGAGCTCTCGATGGCCGGTCTTAGGAGATCGGCTAGAAATGTACAGTACCAGACGAAAATGTTTAGCAATTTCTTAAAATAAAAATGTATATAAATTAACAATAGAAAACAAAGCAAAAGTTTTATAGGTGTGTAGAACGTTAAGTTAATTCACTTGTTATTATTTTTGGTTAAATATGCTTTTAATTTGCTTTTAAATAAAGCATATTTTCACTTGTTATTATTTTTGGCTAAATATGCTTTTAAATAAAGCATATTTTTAAATTTTAACGAGGCAGTTTAAATAATTTTGCAAATGGTACTGTACACTTTTGTCTAGCTCTCGCTCGATGTTCGGTGAAGAAATGAGCTACGCAGACAAATATGATTGAATTTGGAATTATGCTACGGCGCATCCTAATTAAGGGAAGGGGCATATCTCCAACTTCTTGAAACGAACACTATATACCTTATATGCTTATCAGTTTCTCAGGAGATATCGTAAGTCATTCTCATTTAATTTATTTAGTGCTTTATCTGTATTAAACTTACCATTAGCAGAATCTAACTGACTCAAGCAGATGTATAGTAAAATGGAAAGAATTACAACACACTTCATCTTTTCTGCAACAAACAAACAAACACTTTCTGATTTTTTCGTGAATTTTGAATATCAATCATCCGCGTCGTTCCCTTTATTTGGATTTATGAGATAACGAACAGTGGCAATAAACACGATTCAACGTTCATGATAAGTCGAAATGTGTTTAAAAAATTATTCCAGTGTCGGACTAAAAAAGATTAAGAAGGAAAGTTGGATTTGCCCCATAGGCTCGCCTTTATCGTCACTAGGATTTTACTCCTGACGCTCATCTTGCAGCTGCGGGGGGCAACTTCAATGGTAGTTCGTTGCTGGTCTAGCTCGATCCGTTCCTAGTGACTCTGCGGTGGTTACTTATTTACCTAGTCTGAAGCGACGGACGAAACGTCAGGAGTAAAATCCTAACGACAACGATCAACAAACCCATAAAATACTAGTAACACCGAGTTTTTTGGTGGACGCCATCTCAGAAACGGTTAGGTATAGGCTTCTGAAAAGGTCATAAATCGTCGTATCGCATGCTTTAAAGACGTTTTAGACCATCCGTTTTATTCTCATTNATCTTTTAGAAGTGAGTTAGTTTAATATGAAATATTATTCTGAAAATTCATTTCTGAATTTTTTACCCACTACACGCTACCTCAAATTAATGAGGGAAAAATTGTTGCTGTTGTCACACCCCCGCCGGGAATCGAACCCGGGACCTTTGGCTTTACGCACCAATGTTCTGACCACTAAACTACGAGAGGTGACAACAACAACCACGACCAACCGACCTACAAGGTTAACGATCCGTCGAACTAATGTAACTATATACTGAATATACTATGATTAAACATACATATAATTTAGATATCTTTTAGAAGTGAGTTAGTTTAATATGAAATATTATTCTGAAAATTCATTTCTGAATTTTTTACCCACTACACGCTACCTCAAATTAATGAGGGAAAAATTGTTGCTGTTGTCACACCCCCGCCGGGAATCGAACCCGGGACCTTTGGCTTTACGCACCAATGTTCTGACCACTAAACTACGAGAGGTGACAACAACAACCACGACCAACCGACCTACAAGGTTAACGATCCGTCGAACTAATGTAACTATATACTGAATATACTATGATTAAACATACATATAATTTAGATATCTTTTAGAAGTGAGTTAGTTTAATATGAAATATTATTCTGAAAATTCATTTCTGAATTTTTTACCCACTACACGCTACCTCAAATTAATGAGGGAAAAATTGTTGCTGTTGTCACACCCCCGCCGGAAATCGAACCCGGGACCTTTGGCTTTACGCACCAATGTTCTGACCACTAAACTACGAAAGGTGACAACAGCAACTACGACCAACCGACCTACAAGGTTAACGATCCGTCGTACTATAAAAGTCTCTAAGAAGTCAATAAGAAATAGGCGAGATAGGTTGGTAGGACAGCTTCTCAGGCATGAAGGTCTAATCAGAGACAAATTAGAGGCAGAAACATGAGTTAGGAGGAGTAGAGGTAGACCTAGATTACTGTTCACAAATAGTCAAGGATGTGGGATGTTTTGGTTTTAGGAAAATGCGAAGATTAGCTCGGGATAGGAAAGAGTGGAGGTGCGTGTGTAACCAGTCATAGCACTGATGACCTTATGATGATGATGAATGCCTTCACGACAGGTATTAGCTGCAATGTAGGCGCTTCGTTATCTCTAACTGACGCTATCTTTTACAGTTAAGCAAATAAAAACGGTGTCAAAACCTAAAAACTCAGTTTCTTCTACTTTTGTTTATTGCCACTTGTCAATTCTCTTGATCGAATCTTCTCCCCTGCCGCGGTTCTTATCTTGTAGCGGGGGGGGGGGGCGCCTTAGTACCTAAACGAAGTTGTAACGAAGCTGAAATAGCCTCGGGGTGTTTGGAGGCAGAGTGCAAGGAGGTGGAAAGCAGTGTTGGTCTGGGTGTACCCCATTGGTGTGCCGTTGGAAGCTACGTGAAATCTCGAGTGAAGATAGTCAACAGTTGGCAGACTGACGTGGGGAAATAACCCATCCCAACCGACATAGCCAACTCATCGAAAAGGGGGTAAACTCAGTGCTGTTCCGATAACTTCGGTGCCTTCTTGTGATCAATCCATCTGACGGAGGAAATCTCCGGGGGTGAATAAGTCATACCAAGGCAGGTGCTGCACGTTAAATATTCGCCAGTTTCCTGATCAACGTTTACAAGAAAGACCTTGTTATTCTTTGTATATATTATAAATTTACGTTCGATTAGATTTTTCTTTTGACATTTTCGTTTTCCCAAACTTTAAACATTGTACGTCCATGGTCTTAATCTTAGTTATTATTGTGTTATTAATCAAGTACATGGAGAACGCTAGATTTCCAAAATGATAAATCATTAACGGGGTAAGTTTATTTTACAGTAATTTATTTCACTAGAAAAAATTAACATTGATAGGGACCAAGTCGTGTTTTAAGCCGGTAGCAAGAGAAAAACTGTAATTAAAGCAAATAATTAATATTTTTTGTAAATGCCTTATCACATTTTCTTAATTGGTTTTTTTAAATCAGGAACAGAAAAAAAGCTGCCAGTAAATAAAGTTACAATTGGTTTTAGTATATGCTATATCATACCTACCATATTTCCGTAATTACTACATCGTATTTTATTGTTATTTTGAGTAAGAGTAATGATCCATATTGCTTTCTCTTTTTCTTCTCCCTTCCACTCCCATATCAAGCCCCTCCGCCCTGTATGCTAGCGAAGTCTTTCTCCCAACTTAAATAATACCTACGAATATTTTCTAATGATCCTCCCGCAGCTCAGAGGTAGCATGCCGGACTACAGTCGCAATACTATTGGGTTCGGCTTTGGAAGAGGGGACTCACCTACGAAATGGAAGGGATAAGAAAAGGAAAGAATTATCTCACTCGCACTCGCAGGAGCAATAAGAAGCTCCTTGGCTATACCTGAGGAGTCAAAAGAGCCGACTTTACCAGGCTCTGGCCTATGAATTCATACGTTACTTAGGAACTATTTACATACTTATTATAAGCAGCCATACCAGTTGTAGGGGTCGAACATCCCCCAGACACAATTAGAATGTTGCTGTGAGTATAAGCGCAAGCGCAACAATTAGATGGACTTATAACACAGCGACATTTTAATTGTATCTGGGGAATGTTTGGCCTTTACAATTGGTTTTGCTGCTTACAAAAAGTATTGAAATAATTCCCTAAGTATCATATCTAAGAATGAAGTTAAGGCTCCCACAGTATGCTGTTCTATTGTACTTCCATGATCAGAATATTGCATTAGGCACGATTCGATTTTTTAAAAACGTTGGAACGTGTTTGTAACTATTATCTGTAATCATCTATACCTAATGTAAGGAAAAGATGAAACCACTAGTTTTCAATCAGTTACAAAAAAACTATAGAAAAGTGTGTATCTATTGTGTATAAAAATGAAACCCATTATAATCTTTTGGTTTTTGTTATATACATGTATATGTTTTATTCAGTTAGTTACTTCCGAGGGTAAGTTTGTTTCGTAGATGTATGTAAATTAAACAGGAATATTAAGAAAGTAATACTATAGGACAATAATAATATACTGCTCCTTATCATCTGGAATTTAGTCGTATAATTTCCAAGGTGAGGTGAACGTAAGTTGTCCAATTTAGTGATCATCAAAGCGAAAATACAAAACCAAGACTTTATACTAGGAAGACCAAGACCAAGATTTAGTCGTAGGACCAAAACCAAGACTGAACGAACAAGACCAAGACTAAAACTAAGACAGAATATGCAAAACCAAGACCAAATACGCAAGACTAAACGAAGAATTACTGTATACTTCCGCTAGATTTATGAGTTAAACTATTTAAAGCAATTTCAATTTATTCTTTCTTTGGAACAAAACATTTTTAGTATTTGAAGAAATAGTATTGAAATATAAGAAAAAGAAACTTCTCCGCTGTTTGAAAAAAAAAGGATTTATACAAGACTGTCCTCAGAGTAGGTTGTTCGTATAATACATGGTTGAAGTATAGAGGCAAACTAGTTTTTTTTGGATATTTTTTATTTTTTTCAAGTACCTTCTACTATTTTGTTCGCTAAAAGGTCAATTTATGCATTGCAGGAAGAACGAGTTCTCGAGTTTTCATAACTCTCACAACTATCGACGTTATTTAAAAGTTATGACAAACTTGAATGTATGACAAAAAATTTCAGCAGTTATGATAATTATTGTGTCATTAAATAGAAAAATTTGTGTTTCTTTTTTCCTGTTTTTACCTTTAATATGTCTTTGGATACACCTTCATGCCTGAGAAGGTGTCCTACTAACCCATCATTTTTTTATTGATTTCCATAGAGTCCTCTCTTCTCCATTCTTTCCAATACCTCTTCATTTCTAAGCTTCTCTGTCCACGGGGTCTTCATTATTCGCCTGCAACACGCTTCTAAGCTTTTCCGCCGCGTCCACCTCTCATCTCAACCAACACATATAGGGTGTCCCAGTTATAATAATTAATATTTATACCACAGATTCCTACGGACATTTGGAACATAAAATGTTATAACACTTTTGACTTTTGAAACAAAATAAAAAATTATAAAATTATAACAGTTTCGATGCCGGCCCTGCACAATCGCAAATTAATTACGATTGCCAGCTGATCGTAGAAAAATTCACCTTCAGTAGGTCGGAATCAGCTGGTTTTTGGGGTGATGTTATTGTTTATGTTTGGTATTAAGTTACGGATCAGCCGAAGAAAATGCACTCGCGTTAAGGTCCATTAGATGACTGAAACACGTTAGAAAAACTATGTACCTATCACAATCGAAAATCCCGTGATCGTAAACTGAAGTGGACCTAATGTAGTCCATGACGACGAGTATTATGTTATTTTAAATACAAAAGAAATTTTAACAACAACGGAATAGTTAGAAGCGGTGCACAAACAACCCTCACCACCCAGCGTTTGGTAAAGGTTTGTAACATAACGTACTAGTGTACGAAAACAAATGTATGTGTTATGGTTGTAAAAGTTGAGACAAGATGCAGACCTACTTTGACCATTCACATGTGTTAAACGTTACTTTTGCCTGGCAGGGCTCATTAACCCCACGTGGGGTAATACAAGGGTGTGTCCAGAAGGACCAATTTTGGTTATTTTGTTTTCATTAAATGTAAAAAGCTAAGTATTGATATAACCTCGTATAATTACACTGCTGGAAGTGACTCGAAAACAAGGCACATAATGTTGTAGATTCTAACAGGTTGTTCAGTTCGCTTTGGATTGTTGTGGAATTTACTTGTTTGTTAGTGTTAGTTTATTTATTTAGTGGTCATTTCATAAAAGACTATTACAATAAGGACAATTAGTAGTGTGATAGTGCATTCTAGTACGGTTCTTATTCAACCGTCAGTTGGTGGTGAGTTACATTACCAATGCCTATCGGATAATTCGAAATATTCCCGGTATCTGGGCCAAAATTCGCAGCAACTGGGTACGTCGCTGTCAGTGTTGCATTGAAGCGAATGGCGGACAATTTAAACATTTTTTAAAAAAGGTACGCATTTCTTTTTCACTTTTACCTTTTTTTTACAAGGTGGAAGTGCATTCGGCTTCTTCCCGGTAGGTACTTGTTACATCCACACTAGATCAGCTGAGCGACGTTGGTCGCCTAGATCCAGGCCCGTAATGAAACAAATTGTACGTTCAAATTTACAAAGACGATTTGCGAGCTCAATTGTCACTGGATTGAAAAATTGTATAACACTTTTTTGTTGTATTTTGTGTCAGGAAGCCATGTTTTTTTTTTAATTATTATAACTGGGACACCCTGTATGTATCACAGTATAAAGGGTTCATTTCCCAGCCACGCCTATACATCCCTCTCCAGTCGACACTTTTTTTACACAATTTAATTTATGAGTTCACCGCTAAGTAGGGACTGACTTACACAAAGTGTCATTGTGAAGCCGGAGTACATTTTGTATTTAAACACTTTGGTAAAACTATTGAACCGTCCTTATGTATGACAGTTCAGCGCACGTAAAGTCAACTCATGATGATCTGCCAAAAATGTCGCTATTTGAGGCAAATCAAACAAGTGAACCTACAGTTAAAACGTACGATGTTCGAATGGAGTTTTAAAAAACACTTTGTTTTAACACATTTATTTGGTTCGGTTTTCAGGAACCTCGATTACACTTTATATTTTAATAATTACACACTATTGATGGCTAATGAACAAGTTACATAGGTTTGACCTATAAAGTAGACTGTTGAATGAATGAGAAAATTATGAGCTTATATACTAATTGGATGTGTCATGGCCGGTGGTATAATTTAAAGGTAGGGGCAAAGGTCGCTGCATGTAACTCTACTGTACGGAATCTTTATACTGTAGATATGCAGTCTGCTTTTCCTGATATTACCAGCAAGGCACATAATAGTACTTCTTGGCTGATGGTAGCATAATGAAGAAGTTCAATATTAATACGGAAATTTAATAAAAAAGCAACTTCAATAACTATTTCAATTTAAAGTATTTCTAACTCAAAAAACAAAACAGAATTTATGTGCAGAGTGATACCACATTAATATTAATTAATTGGGTGGTTTTTGCTAACATGGGGTACATATAGGTTTTGAGTTCTTGATGTTTGATGTAAAAATTTTTTCTTTTTAGGTACTTCGTCTTGTGACTTCAACCTAAATGGTAATTTATTACTGTAACCTTTATTTTCAAAGTCTAACACGTCATCATTTTACATTTCAGATGAATTTTTCGATGGCGATAAAGGTAGATGTCTACTCCACGATTTTCCGGGTCATTTTACTGTGCATACGGTATATACAGGGTGTAGCGGAAATAAGTGCCGAGGTTTTAGGAGGTGATAGAACACTATGAAACATGAAAATTAAGTAAATGTTTGTATATCCAAATGTTCACCGTTGTCAAGAAAAAAGTAGTTGAAGGTACAGATAAATTCAATTCCGGTCCTGGTTCATAAATACGGGCCGCAACGCTGCTCAATCAGCTGGTATTTATTTTGCATTTTTTTTACTCATGTATTGTTTTTATGTTAGATTAGATTAAGTGCGATTCAGTCAACCTCTAATAGCCATTTATTCTTTTAACTTTTAAACTTTGTGCAGTTCAATAAATTAATTAAGCAATGCATCAATTATTAGTGTAGGTCAGACACTGTAGAACAATTGTTAGAATAATGTGACATGATACGTATTTGAACCATATCGCTGCTATAGGGACGAAATGATCGATTTCAAAGAAGACAGTCCATCAAAATAGTACATGTGAAATAACAGAGAACGTTGACTTCTCTCAGTGTGGCAATTTTTAAAGGAACAGTTGCTGCATCCTTATAATTTGCAGCGAGTACAAGTCTTTCTTCAAACTGAAATAGAAAAGTACTGTATAGCCTAATTTTTTCCACAGGATGTTGTCTACATACTGTGCTTCACGTGGAACGAAATTTTCAATAATATTACTATCTAGGTGCGACGCAAATTCGTACATCCCTCGCGATTAATGTGTGACGCTAAATTTTTGGACTTATTTGACTTTTTTTTTTACAATCACCCGCGAAAAAGGTAACGCACATTGGCAATACCTCAATTGTGTGGACATTTGCGTTAATAAAATTACAATTATCCAAATGATGCTCATTTACCGTTTAATGTTTAACATCTTTCTCTTTTTTTTTGTGTTCTTACATTTACATAATGCTTCCTGTAATGTATTTATTTAATTTATTTAGTTTCAACATTATGTGTAGCACTATGTTTATGTAAGAGATTCAGTAATCGGCAATGTTTACATTCTCCATTCATGTAGCTGCAAAGTTTTTATCGTATTACAAACTACGCTATTCGGTTCCTATTAGAAACTAATGTTGCCAATTCACGCACAGGACCGGCTTCGGGTTGTAAATTATTGTGATGTTCTTAAAAGAAAAAATACCTTTAACCGCGCTACTGAACTCACCGTACGATTGTTTATTGCATTTAGTTTACACGTTCCAAGGATCGACACTTATTTCTGTTACACCCTGTATCTGTCAAAAAGAGAGTTTGTCTTATGAATTTGATGTTTACGTTTTTACCTAATATTACAATATTTTCTGTTTATGTTTTTCAGATGTTATACTCAGTACGTTGGAAGGTAGGTAATGCTAATTCTCACAAGTAACTGCTTTAGTAATCCATTTGCATCTCACTTTATCTCTCTCTCTCTCTCTCTCTTTCACTCTCGCTCTCTCGCTAACCGCTGACGTCAGGATGTGACAAACTACTGCTATAAACAAAAAACGATCTTTACTTATTGTTTTTTTGTCACACATTTGCTAATTCCTGTTCTTTTCCTTCAGAACCTTGATCTCATTTATCTGATTTGGTGTAAGAAGTAGAAATTTGGTAGATAGTATGTACATGCCTATGTATCCTTAATTTTTTAATTTGAATGTGCATTTCGTTACTAAATAACTAAATTTATATTTTCAGAAATGTTCGAGTGTGCTAACGACAAAATGAAAGGTAATTGCCTATTATTAATTATTATTTTCATTTCGAAGCACTTTTGTGATTAGGCAATTAAACGTTACAATTAGTAGACGTGCAAGCCCATGGGTTTAGAATATGTATATGTTAACGGAAATATGTGTAATTCGTCATTTATACAATTCCTAGGAAATGTATACAATTCCTAAAATCGCCCGGAAATGTGTGAAATAAATTATATTAGACACATTTCCTAGGAAATCTATACATTTCCTAAATAGCAATCGGAAATGTATTACATATAGATGTCAATGGGTACGCGAGGATAGAGGAGCAAGGGGGGAGGGTATTGCGTAATCCGATGTTTTATTTATTATATCCAGAGATAACTGTGATTCTCAGTTTACGAATGTTTTTAATTCATTTCATTCACAAAAAGCATTAGTTTTGTTAATTTACTAGTGCAATATCGGAATTTCATACAATTCCTAGGAAATTTATACATTTAAAATTTTTTTTAACAATAGTTTATAGATTTACTAAATTGCCTCGGAATTGTATACATTTCCTTGGAATTGTATACAATTCCTAGATTTCATACATTTCCGGTAACATATACAAAATATTGATTTGCAATAATTATACATGGTTAATACATTGTTGTAATTCTTAATCACAAAAATAATAACTTTAAAATTATACTTTCAATTTTATTCCCTAACGTATCGTATTTTTCAGAGAAACGAAAACAGAAAATGGCAGGTAATTATAATGCTAGAAACCTATGACTATGGACTATGTATGAGACGTAGGATTAAAAAAGGATGTTCCTATTGCGGCTCTGACGTAGATGAGTAAAAAACAAATGTGCTGTGCTGGTCCTTTAGTAAACAGTTTATATTATACAATCATCAATGTTGTTCATTAATCATTTACATGTATTCTGATTGATTGGGGTCAGTTAAGAAAATCTCTTTATTTAATAGGAACTTTGAGAAATCTATTTACATGAAAGTAAAAAAATATTTTGTCGTTTTATGAAACCACGATGCAAGTGAAACTTTTCGAATTGTAGGCATTTAACTGTAAATTTTCGGAAAATTATTCAATTAAGGGTATTAAAATTAAAATCGAGTTCCTAACCGTATCTTAGTGATTGGAAAATGAGAATTATAATGGGAAATCAATAGTAGACAAGATATCCAACTCACGATTAAAACACACAAATACAGCGTGGCACTTGCACGAATGAGTGAGAATATAAATGCTACACGGTTAGTTCCATCGACGTTTACTAATGGATATGCCTTAGCGGTCAGAATTGTGGTACAACAAAAGAAAGAGATGAAACGAAGTTTCGGACAATATCCATCTCTCTCACGATAGTGCGTAAGCGTGTCATCAAAGAGATAGCACTAGTCCGAAACCATACGCCATCTCCCTGACTTTTCGAACCAAGAAATTATTACAACGACATACGGTTAAGGCACGTCCATTAATATATGTCTATGGTTAGTTCATGCGAGCTATGGGCGCCGCCATATTAACCTTCACTGCTCTGTAGAACCGCGTTTCACTCTTACTACTACTCCGCGGCCTGTTGTAATGCAACATCCGATAGATGAACGAAAAAGTTTGAGGCGATGTAATAAAAGTTTCACTGAAGTTTGTGAAGGTATAGGTACCTTTTTTTGGATATTGATGCAAAATCTTAAGATGAAAATTGCGCGCGCACTTGACAGTATGAAGTTAGCAGCGTGACGATGAATGAGCTGTAGTACGTGGCTAGCCACGTGTTACAACATCGGATCGGAACTGGTATAAAACTAACTTCGGCTGTCGTCCCTGTTCACTGATTGGGGCAAGTCCCAGGTCATTAGGAGCAACAGTGCACAGATTGAAAATTAAAAGGAATACTCACCCCTAATTACCACAAATAATTTTATTTACAATTCTAACTATTTATAGTGGCGAGGGTTGAAGACCGAAAGAAGAAATAATGGAAAACAAATTACATAGGTTTGAGAGGAAAACTTGAATACGTTCAATGCCATTTGTAAAATGTTTTCGAAGCCAATCTTTTGGCCACGAAAAACAGCTCTACAAATGTATGCTTCGATAAACAAGTGAGGAATTAGCTTTCAAGAATTCAACTTCACTAGGATCTTCAAACCAAAAAATATTCTTAGAAATCTTTTAGGAAACACAAAAGACAAATTAGAAAATAATAACAAGTCCGGAATTTACGAAATCAGTTGCGAAGGTTGTAAACTTAAATATGTTGGACAAACTAAACGTGCAATTTCTACAAGATACAAAGAACATATCGCTCACTTTAGATTAAATAGGATAGATAAATCTAGTGTTGCCCAACATATTTTCAATGTTTAAAGTTAATCAAAGAAGTTCTTGCAAATCAGAACTTGACGCTTGGGAAGATTTATACATTCAAAAGAATAAAAATATTCTTATGAACTCAGATGATGGCCCAATTCCTCATTCAGTTCTGTTTCAACTATTGCAATAGGTTTAATTGATTACAATAAGATAAGCTAGTTTCCTTCTCCCTTACAGTTTTCGTTTGTTGAAGCATACGCAGTAAAAAACAGGCCCAAAAGGCCTTTGAACTGCGGGTATTGAACACGTTCCCCCCTTTTCCCAGATTAGGTAGGTTGTGATGAAGCATACGTTTTGTACATAAAATTGGGACATAAAGGCCTTACGAATTGTACTAACGGTTATTGACACACACATTCCCTCTAAATCTAATTCCTCACTTGTTTATCGAAGCGTACATTTGCAGAGCTGTTTTTTGGGGCCAAAAGATTGGCTTCTAAAACATTTTACAAATGGCATTGAACGAATTCAAGTTTTCTTCCCAAACCTATGTAATTTGTTTTCCATTATTTCTTCTTTCGGTCTTCAACCCTTGCCACTATAAATAGTTAGAATTGTAAATTTTAGAAGCAGTCTCGCGTTGATAATGCCCACGTATGAAGTGGGCGAAACACGTGTCCGCTCAAATAAAGTTATTTGTGGTAATTAGGGGTGAGTATTCCTTTTAATTTTTAATTAATATTTACCACAGTTTCCTCATTCTATTTTGAGTGCACAGATTAACAATTTAAATTTGTGATTGAAAACATTTTTTATACAAATTAATACATAATTATTAGTACGCCAGAGGAATAAAACTTCAAGCTAGTGTATGTAAACAAGTAAAGCTTTCTCCTTTTCGTGTTATGCAGAGCAATCTATTCAATATGGTAAAATTTTCTTTTCAGAATTGAAAGCAAAACTGACCCCCGAACAGAAAGGTGATTATAATGATATATATTATTAATGAAAAAACGTACTTCTACAAAAACATTCGAACTTAATTGTCTTACATGTCGTCATTTTACTTTTCAGAACTATATGACGAAAATGAAGGTAATTATAACTAAGCAAAGGAACGTAGAACTAGCACTAGAATTGTAAAGTAGGTACAAGTATGTTTGAATTCATTAAGAGTTTTGTTTTGTGCAAGGGGGGGTATGTTATTATTAGTGGGTATACATTACATATTTACATGTTTGAATAAATTATATTTTAAATTTTAGATGTCCTTCAAGGAATTGATTGTTGTCCATGTTCAGGTAAGTTCAATTCACAATATTCTGAGATAATACCAAAACTTCTGAAATGGTTTTTATTGCAGTAATGTATATAAGTATAGAATTCAATGTTTTCTTTGTATTGCCAACCGTTAGGCTCTCATAAAAACGAAATCATGACCTTTGTACTTGATACTGTATGACTAATGGAACGTCACCATGATCATCCCATAAAAATCACATGATTAGGAACGAATTATATTCCTATTAAACAACGAACAAGTCAAATACCCAGCAGTATGACCAACAGATGAGCTAGATCGACGATGAGCGTATCAACAGGAGATCCCAGCCTGTCTGGGAACAAGTCCTTTTCTGCATAACCGCCGTGTGGGTTATAATGGACGCATAATTTGGAAACTTGAGTTTTCAGAAGGGAAAGCCATGTCTACGTCTTTTAAAACAGCTTTAAATTTGCTACTTTGAGATACTACACTTCCATGTTTGTTGACAAAGGTGAAAACGGATGAAACTAAAGGACTGAGGACTGCTTGTAGCTACGGTCTGTGCTGCTAATTTGTATGCATGAATAGTGCAGAGAATGTAATCAATTAGAGGTTGAGTTTTCTGATAAAGGTCCAAACTCTGTTGTAAATTCCTGACATAATCAGCTACCCCATTGCAAGTCTGCCAACGTAACTGATCTATAGATAAATCAAAATCTGTCACTCTTCGAGGGTCCATGTCTATGGTTCGGTGTTCGATGCGTTTCACTTTTACTTTGTGGTCCCCCATTTATTTCTTGAGCCACTCCTTTGTCATCATGGATTATTTCCCTTCGTTTCGTTCCATGGTGAACGATCTAGAAATGAAATGAGAATAAGGAATCTGTCTCCATCAAACTACCACCCACCAACTCCTACAATTCTTGGTCGGGAGGATCAAGAGAACCTTGCGCCCTACCCTCCAACTTTACATTAGAGTGTAGGTTGGAAAGATTGCACTTCAATGGCATTATTAGCTGGTGGATATGAAACATGCAAACGTTTTTTTATATTAAATGAAGAGGTATTAGAAAGAATAGGAGAACAGAGGACTCTATGGAAATCAATAAAAATTAGGCGAGATAGATGGTAGGACACCCTCTCAGACATGAAGGTCTCGTCAGAGACATATTAGAAGCAGAAACAGGAGTTAGGAGGGGTGAGGTAGACCCAGATTAGATTACTGTTGGCAAATAGTTAAGGATGTGGGTTGTTCTAGATAGTTTTAGGGAAATGCGAAGATTAGCTCAGGATAGGAAAGAGTGGAGATACGTGTCCAACCGGTGTTAGGAGTGACGACCTTATGATGATGACGAAGCGAGTATTATAATATTATTATTTATAGTACCCAAACGAGGGGGTCCGAATCCTTGATTTAATTTATCTTATTGAAAATGTTTTTTGATTCTACATTTTTATTTCAGTTTAGTAAAGGACCCAAAATCAAATATTTTGTGGAGCAAGTGTCAGAAACGGATTGCCATCGATATTATGAGCTCATGTAGTCATAGTATATTCATTCCTGTGGGCATGCATTTGATAACTTAAATATATGTTGCTTGCATTGGTTTACTTTTACAATTTACCAATTCACCACCTTGTTTTGTTAAATGCTTCTTTAATGAACATGTTGGATATTAATCTGCCCATTTGCAGAAGACTGCTCTTTAAAAAAGAAATTTCAATTAGCAGTCTGATATGATGTGCACAATCATGAATTAAAAGTTAGGAAAGATTTATAATTAGGCAGTGATTCTTCAATCGTGGAATAGCAAACATACTTAAATGAAGACGTTACAATATAACTACAATTCGCTGCATCAGATGTAATTAATATTCAAAAGAAATAACTTTTCAATATTTCCTATAATTAATTACTTTATGTGCAGGGCCCTTTACAGTTATACTATTGTTATTTTGAAATGTTATTGGAGAGTTGGACAAATACGTCAATAATTTTTTCTTATCATATCTGCTGCAATTTCCGAGAAAAACACATTCTTCTATCGATAAATTCCGAAAACAATTCCTTAAAAGTGTAATTCTTGTTAAATAACTTGAATGCGATTTGAATAAAATTTTATATTTAGACATTCTCCATGAGGTACCTACGACAAAACCAAAAAGCTACCCGTACTCTTAAATAAATTTATCAAATCACAATCAGTGATGCAAATCATAATGTTAATAACACCAAAAATCAATTCTTTTGAACAACTAAAATGTCATAGGTGTCTGGTATTTTCAATATCTTAAATCCCGTGCGTTTTTTTTGTTAGATTATTAAATTTTGAGTCTGAATGTTTTACTTTTTTTGACATTGAGTAGGTTCGCCTAAATGAAGAATCGTACGTAAATTGAGTTATTTAAGTGCATTTTGAATTTCTGTTATCAGTATGATTAATTTGTGACAAATAGTTAAAATACGAAATGTAGTATAGGTACTTGAAGTTAGCAATATATATGTATATCATTTAGAAGCAGTATCAATGGTGACATTGAAGTTATCCGAAAGCAAAGACATGGAACCGCCAATACAAAAATGATGTATTTACAAAAATTTTATTTGACAGGTAGGTATGGTGCGATGCATACTCCCTAGTATATTTGGTATCATTCGAGAATTTTCGAATAGATATACGTTATTTTCAAAACAGTGTAGTTACTTCCCTCTTTGAAAAATTTGTCGAACATTTACAAACACCAACTACAGTTTGCAGTAAAAGTACCTACCTATATGACATCTATAATCGAACAACTACTGCTCTCTAGATGGCGCATACGTTACAAGATACGAAAAATGCCTTGAACAATTTAAATTCAATTCAGTTTTAACAGTACTCAAATAAAGTAGTTTCTACCTTTCCACGACTTTTTCCAAATTTCAGATAATCTTGCTTAGAAATGGTAGTGAAGACAAGAAAAATTTCATGTTTCATTTTTGCTACGCTAGCAGTGTTCGTTGTAGTTTTTCCCGAATATATTGACAAAAGGATCCTTAGAAATTACATGAGTGGATGCTTAGATGAGAATTCGAAAGTAAATATTCCACGAGTAAAATATTGTTAAAATAAAAGGTTCCGCAACACTGTTGCAGTTTAATAAAAGGGACATATTTCAACATATTAGACCAGTAACACTATATTCTAAAACATCATTCACTCTGCGAGGGGGTATCTCCACAAATTATATCGTTTATGTCTTTGGGTTGTATGTCTTTGTTCGTATACTTAATGCCATCAAAGATATAAACTAGTTGATTGGAGCGCTACGACATATAAAAATATATAGACAGACAGACAAACCGAAATGACAGAAATTTCCAGTTCGCTACCGAATCATATGTAGTAAAATACTCATTTATATTAATTGTTCCAAAGTAGCTACCATTTAGAAAGAGACAGTTTGTCTTTCAAGATGGATATGGAAAGCGGGAATAGTCCATAAATCTCTTTTTAATTGATGACAATGATGGTACCACCCAGTACCTCTATGACGGTACCACCCAGTACCTTTACACCTAAATATGTAATAATGAAATTGACTATTTAGTATCCAGGACGGCAGGAACGGCGTTACCTGCGCCAATGTTCAGGAAAGCTCAGAGACCTAGTGCACGCACCGCGAGGTGGGCAAGTGTCAAGAAGTAAGTAAAGAGTAAAGAAGCGCTGCTGGATATGAGGGAAGGTCGGTGGTTTCTTTGGTAGAGCATAAAAGCCCTGGTCCAAGTTTCTCTGTGGTTTTATTGGATCACATGGGCATACACAGATAATCTTTCACTCTCTTCTGTCTCTATTTCATCCGTCTCATCTGTTCCACCCCAACTACTAGCACCCATTCTCACGTTTCCTTAAGAGTATTCAGTAGCACAACGAAAGTTTCTCAGGGGTACGCAGCGTAAGGAGAATCTGAAGAAGGCGGAAATATGGTCGGAATTATTCGCAACTTGTCGCTCCCATCCCATCATAAGTACACATGCATACATCATTCTCCGTGTGCTTTCTGACAGAGAGGATCTCGTGTAAATATGCATGCGTCGATATAAATAGCAATTTTCTTAAAAAAAAAGTTCTTTAGCGATAACGATACCAGATAGGTATTGTTCAAATGAATAATTTTACAAACGAAATGATCATTTACAGTATACTCATTTAAGTGGTACTAGAAATATTAATTAAAAAAATCTTAATTATGAATGAACAAAAATTAAACATTCGCTTCGTCATATCTTTTGAAATTGAATGAACACTTTCAAATAGATTAATTGTCATTATTGTAAGTTATTTATTTCAGGAGACTGAAGAGGGCCTTCCGCCTTACTTTCCGATATAGTTCGGAGAGACTATTCCGCCCACCAGTTTTAGTTGCTGGTGGGAATGAAACGCTCAAAGTTATTTTTTTCGAAACGGAAGTAGCAGTTAGTAGGTTGGCAGACGTGTTAGTAAGCTTAGCATAAACATCGGTACCTAGCATGGGAGCTACCACCTTCACCAACTAAATGACCCATCGACTATCCTGTTATTAAGGTTGTATATGCCTTAAAACTAGTTGCATTAAAAACCTCTGTAGTCACTCCACTGTGTAGTCGTAGTAAGATGTGACTATCAAAAGTTGTGGTTCTGAGAAGAACCGATTTTATAATAGCGTTGGACACATTTCTGCATCAATTATTAGTTATGACACTATTGCAGCATCCGATGATTGACACTATTGCAGCATCCAAGGGTTGACACTATTGCAGCATCCAAATAAAAGTGAGCCTGGTGTTAGACTGATTTATTCAATTATTTACAAGCTATTTATACAAAAATTATTTACATTGGTTTAATGGCAATAGATGTTTCAGCAGTTTACAGATGTGTGTGTAAATGTCTATGGCCTAGTTAGTCGCACTGTACCGCGATTTTACTAAGTCGGCAGAAATGATGAACTTTAATTATTATACATTTGAATTGTTTATTGCTATACCGGGTGTTCCCAAACCTCTAATATAATATGTACGATATATATTCGATGTTTCAGTCAGTGGAAGACGAATAACTATCAGCAAAGATGTATAATGTACTTTTGAAGGAGGGGAGAGAAGTCTGGAGGAGGCTTAGGAAAGATTACACGTCATGGAAAATAGATGTCGCCGAGCAAGACGTTCTTAAAAGTAGTATAGCGTCCACTGAATTGACAATGCAGGTACGGCGGAGACGAAAGGGTTCAGAATTCGAAACTAAATTTTTGTTTCGCGTTGTTTTTCTCTGAAGTTTTCGTTTCAAATTTACACCAAATATACGCGACTTCTTGCCCAAGAGCAGTTTATTCTTATACCAGTTTTGTGGAAAACCAGCACGAATTTCAGAAAAGTAATAAGAAAAGTTAAATTGGCAGTCTGAGCGAGCTATGTCGAGTTAAAGTTAGTTTTAAGGAATGCTGCGACCGATATCACTCGCTATGCTCGAAACTTACCAAGTATCGATTTCATCCGAGGCGCAATTTGACGACTGATGACCTGTAATCTACAATGGGTTAGTGCTACTAGACTGACTTTGTGAATTTAAGTCTTCTAATAGTTTCAAAGAATGCTATTAAAAGTGCATATTTGGATCGTGGTTTTGTACGGGTACAAAACATATAGACGGTGAGCACAGCAGAAAACAAAAAATTAGATGCTTATTTTTTCAATAAAAAGCAGTCAAAAGAGGCGAAATGTTCATTATTTGTTACGTAATTTACAAACAACGTTTCGCCTTTTTGGTCCAAGGCTTTATCAAGGTTGGAAATAAAGAATATTTTACCCCTTCTGGCTGCTTTTTATTGAAAAAATATTAATATCATTATTAGGGAACATAGTTCAAAGGAAAAATTAGAAGCGTTCGAGATACATATATACATATACATAAAGGATTATCAATGAGAAAATAGGAGAACATGAATGATATGTTAGAAGCAGAAAGATGAATAACCAGGCTCAGAGAAATGCCTTAGTATATTATTTAAGGTACTATTCGGAAATAGTTAGAGATATAAGGGATGTCCTAATTTCTGGGATCTGTGAAATTTGGCTCGGATTTTCGCACTGATGACTTCCATCCAAGATTCATAGATCACTTACAGGGTTATCCCTAAGGAATGGAACATAGAGGAACATTATTTAACCATACATTCCAGAGCAATATTAATGATAAGAAAATAAAAGATGTTAAACTACCACTTGGTGTGCTCTATTACTCAATACCCAAAAGAGATCGAAATCGCCATCCACGTCTGACAGTTTGGACAGACCAAAAATTTATGTTCTATTAAGTATGAGCGCCCACTGCTATGCCGTGAATTGTGTTTGACAAGTAAATATACCCAAAAAAGATATCTTTTCAAACAAGTAGTAGCAAATTTCTACAGGTGGTATTCACTACACCGTATGTAGTTATTCGTTAATCTCTGTAGTATGTACACTGCACATGCTGAAATGCAGTACTGTCTTTAAGTTTCATTTACACTGTTACACCTTTGTACCTTTTATGGATTCGA